AATTAATCGAAATTGGTGTCTTTCGTCATCAAGACTTTTAATAAAGAGTATTTATAGTGAGTTTGAAAACGCTACTACCAAAAACAAAGAAGTTTCATATAAAATTCCAAATTTCATTTTACACATTTGGGGGTAGAATTAAAAAAAAAAGTGTACACCTATATTACTTACGGAACATTTGTACGGAACACAACAAATTTTCATGCGTCCAGACCCAGCGGTTTCAGCTGTGCGTTGAACGATCAGTCAGTGAATAAGTCTGACAGTTTCTTCTTTTATAGATATATATACGAATGACATTCTTAAATATGTCTACTGGTTGTATTAGTCTGTGGCTATCGTAATACGTCGTTTCGTGAATCGTAATCGTTTAATGAATTTGAGCTCCATGCAATATCAAGGGGAAAGTGGGCTCAGTACTAATGTGCGCATGTGTGTTGATACCATCGTAGACAATTACTCTAATGTCTTCTGATAGCAAAGAAGGAAGCGGAGTTGCTTACAAAAATATAGGTATTGTTCTTGGATGTTTAGTTACCACAACTATTGTAGGATTCTAGGATTCTTTTTTTAAGTTCATTGATCGGGATTCATTACCTTGAATGTAAAAAAGACAATTTGATAATATTTGATTCGTTTTGATAGCATATTTACAACTTTGTGGGGATTTCAACCAAAAATAATAGTATTAATAAGTTTAATTAAAATGTTACAAGTGTTAATATGTGTTTATGTAATTAAAATTAATTTGAAAATTATAAATTTAAATTGACTGTCCTAAAAATAAACAAATTCACAATCGCGATAATGAACGCCGATTTTCGATATGTAGTATTACATGTGCATATGACATATTATAGGGTAATGTACTCATATTTGCTTAAGATTATTGTAACGTTTTTCAAATTAGTATAGCATTTGGCCTCAATTATGGATTTGTGGCATATCTCAAAATTAGCAAACCACTTAAGAAAAAGCTTTTATGTTTTTTTTTTCAAAATTAGTAACAATATATACAAGTATTGTCTTCCTCTGTTGTGCAATGCAGCCAGTCTTTTGTTCTAGGTTGTTCTAACTTAGATATCGCAAAATGTGATGATAATTATGTTGTCTTTCTATTTTCTCTTTTTATTATTTTAAGATTTGTTTTTTTTATTATTTCGACATAGCTGTAATAAAATAACCTAAAAGGGACACATCATCCATTCCCACTTTCTAACCGTAGGTATTCAGTAATGATATCTATTCAGATCTCATATCATAATTTTAATTTACCATGTTTGTTTTAAGAAAGCTTATGTAAGACAGCTTGTAATACGACGCAGGTGGCACATGCTTTAGAAAACACTCCGTCGTGTGCAGTAACTTTTCAAGGTATGTGCTTCCTATTACGAAAATCCAGGGTTATAATTTTGCTTCAAATAGAGTATACGATCTTAGAGTTCCATTTACCAACAAGAACAGTGGCTGTCTGTCTATCCGTAAAGAAGTTCTTAACGTGGAGGCATTTTTTTTGTTCTGTATGGCTTAGGAAGGCAAACGACTACACCGGTTACCTGATGATCTTTAGTTAGAAATACGTCCTCCTTGAAAATCATGGGGAGAGAAGTTTCGGCTTCGGTAACCGCACTCACTCGGTGAAACCCAATGATATTTTAAGGAAGATACGTTATATTCATATTGCACGCACAAACTATATGTTCCCTAATACTATACATACATCTATTAATGTATTTTAGAACAAAAAATAAGCTAAGTGCGATAGGAAATAGGGAAAGCATAAGAGTGAAAGATACAGCTATTTGTAATCAGTACAGCGACACACGGCATTTTATGTTTTTTTCGAATAAATCGGTACGTGTGCGCGGTTTTTGTGGTCCTAACTAGGACCCTCAGGTTTTGTGCGTTGGTGTCGTGTCTACCTCTTGTATGTATCCAATATCATTGGTGAAACATTTTTGGTTTAGCACTGATTTTCTGTGAGGCCGTAGTATCAATCCGGTGGAGCAGGTCCACACCTATGTACCGCAGCATGGCTCTCTCAAGCACAAATATTACATACAAAGAATAATCTAATGCTTATGTCTCTGGTCACTTATATACGAATTATTCACCATACAACATATTTTTGTTTAATATAGTCAGTGTTACTCAGGACAGGAGTCAGATTATGACGTCATCCTATCCCAAGTGACCCTAAAATATCTATATACATATTAGTTACATGAACCCTGATAATATTGAAATATAATGTTTACAGTCCTTTATTGATTAAGTGAATAAAACATATGTTTGCGAATCGGTTTTCGAAGTGAAAAAACTATCTAAATAAACGTTAGTTTGCATACGGAACCATCTGTGTGCGAGTCTAAATCACACTTACCCGGTATTATGCACAAATTTACTCTATACGAGTATTAGTCAATTCCCGCTCAGAAAAGTCATTGTCATCAAATAACTGTCATTGAATAGTTTTGTACCACGACAGGTCAATGATACTGGAGCCCTATAGCTTTGTGTAACTGCATTTATATATTTTATATTTATATATATTGTTTGAATGTTTTAGATTTTGTACTTCTTTTACACATACTTGAAGTATTGCAAATTTTACATTTCTCTAAAATGCGTCAACGACCAACCGCGCGCGTTCATTGGTTGAGTTAAACAACGTGTGCATACCGGACTTCCTGTTACAGACTTCCGTCCCTTTTCACAAACTGACTATCGCAGTTTGCAGGAAAGATTACACATAAAAAAATTAAATACAGAACTGTGCTGTTAATTTTCCACGCGTTTAAGCGCTGAGAGTCGCACGACGGAAGCCACACGGGATGAGGTGTAGGAGGGGGATCCGGCGCCGGTCAACTTCCGCTCTATGACACACCTGCGACGCTGAAGCACGTTATGTAGCCGTGTCTATTATACTTTGTAGTTCTATTCTAAGTACTAGACAAAGCCGGTTTTTAACCGACTTTATACATCACATTGCTAAACGTTTATTAAAGTTATTTTACTGTTTTAAGCCGTAAATAGATGGTTTTTTTTTTTGTTTAAAAGACAACTCTCGCATTAGGAATATATTCCTGTATTGCGGGGGACTTTACAAACATACATGAAACGGACACAAAGAACACCCAGACTCAGACCAACAATTTGTGGATCACACAGTGTAGTCCCATGTGGGGGATCGGACCCACAACACTCAGCGTAGTCGTAAGCGGCGTGGCGACCGCTTAAACCACTACTCTATCCGTACATATGTATGTATGTGTATATATAGATAGTATTTTAGAATACCGTTTCTTTTGAAAAAAGTTGAACCGACTTCAAACAATACTAACAAAGACCAACTAAACGCACTGCTCCAATGAGACAGCAAGCTTTCATAAGTAAAGAAAAAATCATCGATGGATTTTCAAACATGACCGATTTCAATAAAATTTAAATGGGACCACCTGGGAAGTATACCCTTTAAAACAAAAAATAATAATTTTACAAATCGGTTGAAGCGTCTTTGAGTAATCGGTGAACATACATAAAAAAAAAATGCCGACGAATTGAGAACCTCCTCCTTTTTGGAAGTCGGTTAAAAATAATCCGTTTCATATTTATGATTACTTCTTTCTCAGTTATTGAAATTGATATCAAATATCTACGTGTGCGGATCCTTGTAACTATAAAAATAAGCAGTTAAGTTAATGCAACTTATCGGAATATTTATTCGGAAAAAAGTGATGTCAGTAACTGGTTTTAACTCAGCTATTGACATAAGCAATATGGTCATTCATCAGTTTGCATATTATAGAAAACAATCAACCGCTGATTGAATTGTCAATTGCAATTGTCATATCGCAGCACCCCTTTTGAGTTTCGTCAATTTGGGTTAAATGAAAAAGGAAAAAAGGGACCACTTAAAAATGTTTGACGCATCTGTCTTTAACAGATCTCTTGACAAAAAATACTTCGTTCTCTTAAAACAATCCTAAAACGAATACGCAAGCATTACCAGTTTTGACATTGCTTGGGATGGCATACACTTGACAAAACTGAAATTCAGTAATAAGCGGAGCGGTAAGCTGAAAGATTATAAGCATTTTGTATTCTTCGTTACCAATTTTTTTAGAGGAATATGTCCATCAGGACAATTACAGCTGCTCGCTAATCATTTAAAAGAAAGCTGAAATTTGTAATAAAAGTACTGACTTTTTGTCCACCATCTAACGCTGTAATCGAATTAAAGAATTAGAACTTTGGACATCGATAAATTGAAACAATTAAAGAATCTGTATTCATAGAAGAGACGTGTAAAAGAAACACTCTTTTCATAGGTAGGTAATAAATTTAAATGCCATGTCTTGTACAATCTTCCTCTAGCTTTTTCAAGTCCAAGTTCAAGACCAAGTCTAGTTTATAGCTGTAGCTTTAGATTTAACACACGTGAAAAAAAAACTCACTTACTTCAACGACAATATCACAATGGTCTCTGGTTTAACATGAAGAGGGTGATTATTCGAAATAACCGACAATCTCAAATGGAAAAAGGAATGGAATGGCAATCTATTTGGGCTTATTGCTTGTCGGCCCCCGTTTACTTAGCACGCCCTTTTAATGCTGGTACGACGTGTGGAATTCTCTCCTTAAACTGATTACAGTCACAAACTTGGGTGAATTATTGACAGTTATTTTTTTTTGCTGAAAAGAAAATTTTTGACTGGCGTTTTGTATTTAAGTATGAGTGTAATGACGAAAAGAGATGTAAGATGTAGTATAAAGCAATTCTTTCATTTAGTAGTTTTGTATACGATATCTATCTACATTATAAGTAAATGATCAAAGTGTTATGAACGCTAGAGGTTAAAAAGTATTAATACTCTTTTAGTTTTGTGATATATTTAACATTTCAGACGCTGTCACATAGTTTTGCAATGTCAATATTGTATAGGTTTACGGCTGCCACTGGTATTTGCCATTTTTTTATGTTCTTAAATTTTAGCTAGATGAGTAAACCTAACGTAAGTACTGCTGAATGTGAATATAAAAATGAAATTAAAGTTACTTGTAATACAAATGAATCAGGAAGCGTTAATACCATTCAACTTCAAGAAGAGTTCGAGAAAGAAATTGGATACAATATGCAAACAAATGGAATAAGCGATGAAGATATTTTAAATAAATCAAGTGACGCATCAAGAAAAGTGATGGTATCACAAGAAACAGTGATAGATATGACATTTATACAACCAAACCTAACATCAAAGAATATTATGTCGTTTACGAGACTAATGCTTAAGAAACATATGTCACGACAGCTTTTTAGAAAACATCAGCAAGGACCTTATCAACCAACTTATACCCCACAAGGATATCCACCGCAGGGCTATCCGCCGCAGGGCTATCCACCACCGGGCTATCCACCACCGGGCTATCCACCACCGGGATATCCACCACCGGGATATCCACCACAAGGGTACCCACAACAAGGTTATCCTCCACCGAATCCTCCGCCACAAGGTGAGTTAGTATGATGATGTAATCAAAGAGAATAATAAAAGAAGGCCATTTTTTTTCATAATTAATAAATAGTATTAATAATGTTAGTGTTTAGTCGTATAAATATTTTTTTTTAAATAAATTAAATAAATAAACTTATATAAAACTTTTCTTGCAAATTCGTAATATACGTGAGTGAAATGTTAAATATTTAAGCAACTTTCGCCCACAGAAACAGGTTTCATGAGTAGTATCAAACACTAAAAATAGTGAGTAATACTAATACATACAATACATAATTAAAGTTTGACAGTGTGTAAATATAACTAACATTCATTTATTTAAATAATAAATATTGCAGCTGGAGGTTTTGGCAACTTCTATGGTGGTCCACCCGAAGGGTTCGAGCCAATACCATATGATCCTGAAACAAGGAATGCTTTTATTCGTTTGGTGATGACTATAGTGTTGGTCATGCTGATCGCTACTGCTATTTTCGTTGGTGCTTCCATAACAGTGTATGTTTTGTCAATAATACTATACTATCTTCCTAAAAAGGTATTTATTTATTTATTTAACATCTTCATGCACTTATGTACAACAGCGGACTTAATGCCCTGGACATTCTCTACCCGGTGTAGAAATATTGTGGTTGCACCTAGCACCGAGGTTACAATTGTAATCACTTGTATCATACTTATATCAATCTAAGCAAAATTTACAAATATTATACAATTGCACACATAAATTATAATATAATACGAATATAATCACACATGAATGAAATAATAAACACACACACAGAAATAAATATACATATAAATACGTATTCTTTATGTTCGTACACAATGTATGCTTGAATTTAAGGAGGTGTACTATTGGTTAAGGTACTTCCACCATCTCGTCGGGAAGGCAATTTTGTACATTCTTTTTAAATGCTAAACGGTTTGTGGATTGTGGATTTCGAGTGCGAGTGCATTGCAGAGCAGTACTACATGCACAAAGAACGAGGAGTTCACGAAGTCGGAGTTGTGGGACACACACAAGAGACGTAATTTAGACGTTATTCGTTGATCTAAGATTTCTGTCGTGATTAGAGGACAAGAAACGGATGTAGAGATCGATGTAGGTGGTTGAATATGAGGAGTTGAGGAATGAAAAGAGAGAGGTTCTGGATTTGGAGGTTGAAGATGACCGATGGGACTCATACAGTATCCAATCTCCTAATCATATGTTTGCTGTCTACTACGTTCGCCTGGCATTTGGTAGGGTTTAGTGATAATCCAAATCTCATCGACCAGGATTTTATGTTGTTGTACCTGTTGATGTGGTTGTACCTGTTGATGTCGTAGATGGCTCGTGTTATGGCCTCCACCCTTGCTTGTGAGTATAGCTGCAGCTGTATTTGCTGTATTTAGATACACACCAACTTTAACACAAATACCTATATATTATCAATGGTATAAGTCATACTTTTTGCCGGATAAGTAATCTAACAATATTGATTGCTCATGTATGGAGTTCGTTTTTTTTTTATTAATGGAAGAGTTGACAGTTTGGAATAACGGTTTGATTTAACTGGCTTGAACTTTTATATTAGTTTTCTCCAACTCTAGCCTGGTTAATTTGAGAAAAAAAGAAAACTAAAAAGTAGAAAATCATTTTGATTCGAAAATGTTTGGTAACAAACGTTTGTAAAATAGTTAGTAGGTATTTATAAAAGTAAAATTGTTTAATTCCTAATTGCCCCTAATTATAATGCCCCTCATTCCTAAAACTTGTGTTTGTATGTAGTAAAATACGACATTATTTATTTTAATTATTGGATGAAACATACAATTTTCTAACACCATTGTAACAGTGTTTTCTGCAAAATAAAAAATATAAATTCGAATTTAGTATAATCTTCGAATAGTTTGATAAGAAGCAATTAATTATTAATAATCCATTTAAGTTACAATTATTTATTTTTTATTCAAGTCAGATCATATAACCCGCGCCGCGTCGCTCCCGGTGCAAAGGTGCCTATGATACTGGCAGCATTGCCTCGCTAAATTGCAACGGACATCCTTTGCACCAGAAACGAGCCGGAGCGGGAGTCACCACTTTTATCCCTAACTATTAATTGAATATTTTACAATAATATTACAGCGAACCCATGCGCGATGCATTCAGAAAAGCTGGGCTTCTTATACTTTTACCAGCGTAAGTTTCTGATAAGTTAGAAAGTTTTAATATTTTACTTGTTGTATTACTTAGGTTTAATTCTGATTTGAGCATTTTTTTGATCATCGGTTTTTGAAAACTAATCGCCTCATTAACAGTAAAAATAATTAATTTGAGCTCGTTTGCCTGAAAATATTCTGCTTGGGCGTCAGTATCGCATTCTCCTCCAAGTCTCCAGTTCTTCGTGTGTAGTTTTGCTGTAGGATAGCGTTAAAGCTCAATTACTTAAAGCTCAATTATTATCAATTACTCTATGTATTTTTAATAATTTCATATCTAATTGTTTTCATTCATCCTATGGCCCTCATACAGATGATCTGCCGAAATGCACTCAATTACCTAGTAATAAATTGTAGTCTTCACTGTATATTATTTAGATCGAACTTTTAATCTAACTTTTTGCTAGTATAATATAAGTATGGAAGTATGGATATAATTGTGTTGATTAAAGACCACAGACTCTAAACTAAAATTAGATTAATTTTTAATTGTCATTATCAATATACTATTTTATATAATATTTTCAGAATTGGATTGACCTCGTGCAGTTGTGCAATGTGTTCAGAATGTTCTCAAAGGCCACCGTGCAATTTTGTCATTTTAACATTCACGGTAATATTTTTAACTAATAAAATAAATATAAATTAGGTTGTTATGCGATTAAAAAAAATAATAATTTATTTGTCAATGACGTTTAAATAATAATAACAAAAATTATAATCACAACCCGCATTCCAGAACTGTGGTAAACATATTTATAGGAATTTGTCGATGACGATTGATTTCATCGTACATTTTAACTAATATAATAAACATAAATTAGGTTGTTATGTGATTAAAAAAATATATTTGTCCATGACGTTTAAATAATTATACCAAAAATTATAATCACAACCCGGATTCCAGAACTGTGATAAACATATTTATAAAAATTTGTCGATGACGATTGAATTCATCTATTTTACGTTCTTTATTTGTATGTATAATATACATTAAGTCTGATCCCTATATCCTTCGAAAGGATTTTTATCTGATAGAGAATTCCTATGTTAAATCATGCTACAAACCCTAAGTAGAGCAGTACCTATTCGTAAACACCGACGGAACTGTCTGCAACGGCTATTAATTCATAAATTTAGAGTTCATAATGATAAAGTTAAATTATAAAGAAGCAACTATCTTTTAGCGAGAATCGAGCGAGTTAAAGGTACCTGAAGCTTTTATAGTGGTGCGCCATCACCAAATTCAAAACATTCTGTGCTTTTTTAAGATAAAAAGTTTAATTCATTCCAAATTTAATATTTGTTGTTCCCTTTGAATTTTCATTGTAACTGTTACTTATCTAGCCAATTCTTTATTGCTGTTGGTTGATTTTAAAATTAATTTATTTTCAGACTATATGCATGAGCTTAATAGCTGCAATAATTTCATGCCGATTCCGGACCGAAATTGTAGTTTACGCTGTTATTGCCACAGCAGCTGTCGTACTTGTATGCATGATACTGGCATTCTCCGCTGTAAGTAACCAATTATCACCTCTACCAAATAAAATACTAATTACATATGAGTAGACACGTAGTGAATATATTATTAAAATCGAAGAAGAATTTTTATCCTAATTCAAGCCCATAGAGATGATAATGGTAAGGTGGTGCCAGCGCTTTGCGGGCAGGCGCTAGGAGGGGTCCGGATGTCTTAATAACTGCAGTTCCCGTCTCTCTCTTATTACAGCACAGAGTGGCACACTGAGTGGTTTTAGTCGGTCTGATTCCGACACACCACCCCGCCACAGCTCGGTGGGGTGATGGCTGGAGGGGGATTCCAAACGTAAAAAAAAGGATAGCATTTTGTGGTATTTACTTTCTTCTGTATTTATTTAACAATTTTTTTTTGCAGTTCGATTTCACGAAGTGCATATTATACGTCATCGTAGTAAGCGTTGCATTGTCAGTCGTTGGTATACTCCTGTTAGGTGGAATGCTTATTGCAGGAGTTTATTTGAAACCCCTGCACATTGGTATATTGGTTTTAAGTACTATAGTACAGGCTGTGGTATGTATAATTATCAAAACGTTAATGAACTTATTTATTTTGACATATTTATAAAAACAGTGTTAATGTTTAAGCTTATATCTATTATTTTGTTGCTAAATCAACTTCTTGATCAAGTGTTGATAGTAGAAGAGTTACAATAGTAATTATCACTTAGATCTTTGTCAGGATGTTGAAACTATCCCCAATATGTCCACGATGTTTTATTGTACAATTATAAAGATTTATTACATTCAACACGCAGTATATCAAATGCGTTTTATCAATAAAATTGCGCGCCATGCTCAATTCTTCTTTTTTTTGACACTAATCCCTTCTATACTTCCACCACTGTAATTCCTGTACACAAAAATCAACAGCAGTGACGAACATATCGATTAATACCACTGGAGGAAGTCTCTGGATAAATTAAACTTCTTTTGGCGGTATAAGCTAATTCATACCACCTTCATATTCATAAAACCTTATATGAGCCCTCTATCTGTTTCTTTAAGATCCTACTTATTATTATGCCTGATGTTGTATGGACAAATAATGGCTTGGGTTATATAATAGTCCAATCTTTAATTTTTCTACACTTCCTCAAGAATTTTTATTGTAATAGCATGAAAAGTTAATATTTATTGCCTATAATTTATTTGAAAACAGTATTCATACAATAGTATTTTTTTTATTCAGTGTTTTGTTGTTTGTTTTAGATGTTAGTAATGCAGATACAGATGATAATAGGTGGCAGATCTGTGCAATTAGATGATAGTCAATATGCCATGGCAGCGTTTATGCTCTACACCTCAATTGTAGAAATATTCATACATCTGGTTCAGATAATTGGACTTGCAGACAGATAAAGCGAAAACGTGACGTGTATTAACACACGTGTATTAAGTTTTAATTACAATTTCAAGAAGAAAAACTGCGAAGCTTAAGATATTCTAAAGTGAAAATTGACTCAGTGAGGGTATTGATAAACGGACTGTAATTTAGTTTGTAATATATACTGGACTCTATTATCGCATACTGTTGTGGTTACTACTCTATTCGCGTATTGCTTATTTTCAACCTGATAGTAGTTCGCCTTTATCTTAGCCTAATACTTGATCTTGCTAAATAAATTGGCTAATTTTAATCGGATACTTATGTCCTTTCATTAGGTTTTTCAAGTTTATAACTTACACGTTCATTTTATTTATTATTGTTTTTGTTTTGTTACTAAAATCTTTGGTATAGTCTCAGTCATATTTTTAAATTGACTTGCCCAAGTACTGCTAAAACACTAGAGATGTTATTACAACTCCGGTAAATGAAATTAAAATGTAAGATAATGTAATATCATGTTTTATATTTATAAAAAAAATAATACAAATACAATTATTGCCTAAATTTTATTTTGTACCATTTTAATTAGATAAAAAATAGTGTATACTTACTTGTATGCGTCACCAAGTGACTACATATTATCCGCTTCTGGTCTCTGTAGTTCAATCATATATTATGTTGCATTGTAAAAATAAATCGATTTATACTCGTCCTCCTCCTCGTACTAATATTATTATTATTACATTTTATACTCGTATAAATGCAAATTTCATCTACGCACAGAACTAACTAAATTCAATTAGCGACTCCATCGCCTTGTCTCTTTGTTGTATAAACATTTGTAAGCAGACTGCTTTAAATCGGACAGGAATATTAGCACTTAGGTACAGCTAACACCGGTTTCAAGTAGGCACTATACACTTATATTTATCTTAATATATTAAATACGCCGCATTACTATTTTACATAAATGTAATCCTTTAGCATTTACTTAATTAATTAACCAATATTCCTATAGGGGTTTTTCGTATTCGCATAAATTAACTTATGGTTTATGTATTAGGTTGGTTTACTTGTTCATCAGGTCACTGAAATAGTGTTTTTATTGCATCACTGATCGATTTATTTTTAATATTGAATGTGATATGTTTATTATTAATGGGTAATTAACAGCAACAGGTTGACTATCTTACGTCAGAAACTGTACACCATAAATAGGACAAGGATTACTGAATTACTTGGTACATTGAACAGCGGAATACATGTACTTTAGTGTTCCAAATCACATCGACATGAATTACAATATATTTATTTCACATTAAATACACATAAGAATATTTTATTGTAATTCTTTGTTGATTAAATAAATAAATCAACTCCTTGTCTTTTTTTTAAATTATAAATCGCACTTACTGATATTCTGTACGATGTTTATAACGCCATGAATTAGTTAGCAAGATTTATTCGTTTACAATGTTCAAATTCGCCATTTTTAAATCTTATACTGTATTACAGAGAATTCTTGCTTTCAAAAGATAATTATTATTAAATGAAATGTATTATGTATGTTATTTAAATATATGTAAAAGATGATTAGATATTTATGTGGCAACCAAAATGATCTGCTTATATTGTTTAAAGAAAATACTTTTCCCCGATGTACTTCTAAATGCGATCATGGTTGAATTAGTAAAATATTGTGTTTTTATGAAGTAATAAAGTAATTTTGGAGTTTGATAATGTATTTGATATTCATGAATTTTTTAATTAGTTTTATTTGTATAATAATATTTTTTATTTTGTTTTATGAAATAAACTTATTATTTAGTTTAGAGTTTTTTTTTATTTCATCAAGAGGTTTACGTTCAAACACAACCGCCACTTCGTCTTTGGGACATGTAATGATTGAGCATACAATATAGAAACTCTTTATTGTAGATTTTTGTGAACTGGCAATGTAAATTGGAGACTTTTTTTCTTTTTCTATTATAATTCATAAAACTGATGTAAAATCTCACATACATATGTACATTATGATAGATGTTACAATATTCTTCCGCTTGACATCTGCTACATGTGAATCTAACATGTATTAAAACTAAAGCTAAAAAAGGTAGTTGGTAAATAAAAAACAAACTACTTGATATTTAAAATAATATAACATTAAAATTACAATACAAATCATCCGATCGGCTCTCGTAGTTTGGACCTGACTGAAACCACAGAACCAGCAAAAATATCTAACACGTTACGGAGGGAGTTAGCGAAACAAGGCATGCGAGTAATGGGCGAGGAATGACCTATGTTGGTGCGGTAGTGGGGAACAACAAACGTTATTCGGTTGACTATATGACTACCTACGCGATGAATGCAAATATTGACAACAGCTGGGGAGAATCAAATTTATCACAATTTGCAATCTTTTCCAGCCAACCATTGTTCGATAGAGAAACTAGTGATAGGCCTGCAGTATTATAAAAAGACGATATACACGTAATAAGTTTGACCTAATATATAAATCATATTTATTAAAGTGGAAAGCTTTTACTCACGTTCGTACCCGTCGGGAACCCTTTTTCAAGGAGTGAAACGACCTGCCGTAACGGTGTGTGACTCTGCTTTACTTAGGAGCAGGCTCCCGCCGAGTCCGAAATAATGTAGTCGATCCTCCGCAACGGGAAATCGAGTAAAACTGATTATTTTTAATAAATTTAATCTAATTTATTGTTTAACCAATGATGAAAAAGTCATAACAATAGTATTTGTTGAACAATAAAAGAGTATAATATTTACTTTTTAAACTTAATTTCTTTTCGGTTTTAAGTAAATGTGGCATGAACACAGAAAGTTCTTAATAGGTATTAAGAACTTTCTGTTGACTCATCATCTATTACTTGTCACATTATTATTGAATACACAACTAATACATGATAGCTAAAACTTGGTATTTCAAGAAAATATGGTCTATGATAAAGTGGCAGGCGCGCGGATTCAATTTCCTTTCATATATTTCATAAGGAACTGTGAGATTTCTTCCGTAACACTCTTAGATTTATGAACTTAGATGACGTTTTGTTTCAGCCTCTACTAATACGTTGTTTATTGTTTCCCTCGTATAAACATTTTTATTGTATGTCGTAAAAATCGAGTCTCATTAGAACAGCTTTTTTGTTCACATTTTCAAGTTATCTAATCAACATTATATAATAATTTATTAATGATAAATAAAGAAAGATAAAGAGAGATTTCCTGTTCTCTCGCACCTACCGCATCATTTTTCTACATTGCCTAAAGGTCGACTGGCAGAGCATGCTCTGGGGATTAAGTTCGCCATTAACTTATTATAAATAAATAAATAAAGAGATGGGAAAGGTAGTTTCCTATTTAAATTTCTGTCTGAATAAATACCGTTCTTACAGAAAATGGTATGTTAAAAGGCTACTCTACACGTGAGTGTAGCACTGAATCTACCATTTTAAATCACAAATGTCATTTCAAAAGTTTAAATGTATAATGATTACCGTAAGCACAGTCCATGTCCGACGTTACCCAATGGACAGCTTATTAGGTTATGTTGCCGGAATTAGATTCTACCTCCTTCGTCGACTACGGTATTAATGTGTACCTAACAAGCCATGAGCTTTGCGCTAAGTGAAAATAGATTGCGTAACTAGTCACAGGGACATTTAGGTCAATAGTGGTTTTTCTAGTTAAAATTCAGCATTGTGAATTTCAGCACCGCCTTTTCCAAACCACCGCATATACGTGTACGTATGTATGCACTGAACGCTGGCCATTTTTCGGTCTTGAAAATAAAAATGTCTACGTCAGAAACGTGCTGGTGAAGCTTTGTTTTTTCGTTTCGATAGTAAAATCTATATTTGAGTAGTAGTAGTATAATATTATGTATAAATAAAATCAATGCTTGTTCGCATTGTCATACCGTTAATTCGATTATCCTGTAATTGTATACCCACGTTATCAGGGATAGAGCAATACAGGTATATTTTATCTACAGAAACCAAGACGTTCCGAAAGGAATTGAGAAATAACTTTTAGAAATTAAACCCACGTACTAAACATAATCACAAATTAGCATTGTAAAAATTTAATATCGTCGCTTAGGTTATATATCTATGGATATTTATTAAAATTATTATGTGAAATTTATTTCGATTAATCTATGGATTAGGCATGAAAGCGTAACAAAAAAACAAACATTTATAATATTCTAGATTTGCCCGAAAACATCTCTAATAAAGTATCTACAGAATAGTATTGCCTGTACTAATTCTTTGTCGCTATTCACTTTTAACACAAGCTCCTACCCTTACAGTTTTATTTTATCAAGTTTCACTTAGTGCTTGTGGTCGAATAAGTTTAATCCAGATAGATCCTTGAATGAAATGATTAAAGAGAAGAACTTTATACTGGATCCCTCGTAAATATGCACTGTTTATGTAAGATGTTGTTCACGAGATGACAATGTATTCTGAGGTAAAACTAAATAAACCGTACGAGATGTAAAAATATTCTATTTCTACAGAAATCTTTAAAAAATTGTGAAAGCTTTCAAATCGGCCTTGTCCAACAACATACATGATCTATGCTGAGGCAATTACATATTTGTTTAATTCTTTTTTTACCAGTAACAGTCATTACAGTGCTTAGATCTAAGGAAATTGCAGAACAAAGTAAAAATAATACGAGCTTTTAGTGAAACTGGTCAATGGAACCGGTCGTTAGTCCCAAACGATGGCATAGAAGCTTTTGTAGTTTAAATAAATAAAGGGAGAAGCGTACCGAAGCGCACAGTAGCGACTAGAATCGGCGCATCTATTTCTGATGGCTATTGAAAACTTAAGAATGCTATCACACAGTAGTGTGTCAAGTTATAAAAGGAATAATTCACTTGTAATAAGTAATAGTAAAACAGTACGTTTTTAACAGACTTCAAGTAAAACGAGGGCCTGAATTTGACTGAATGTTATTGCTTTTACTTTTATAATTGAACATGTTATCTCACGGTTTA